CTCCAGAGGCTGGGTGAGGCCGTCAGGGACGGGATAAGGTGTCACATGCCGCTCGGGCATGGGAGCACTCGCGTTTTCCCCATCTCCTCCTTGCATGCAGCCCGGTTCCCTTGCTCTGCGTGCAAGCCCACCGCTCAGCGTGGCTTCCCCTCCTCACTATCCCCCCTTTCTCTGCCCAGACTTGGCCATCGATGTCCCTGGTCACGGGAAGGTGGTGGTCGACATCGGCTACGGTGGCACTTTCTATGCCTTTCTCAGCGCCGAGCAGCTGGGCCTTGATGTGTGCTCTTCGAAGACCAGAGACCTCGTCAGTGCGGCGAGCGCAGTGACGGAAGCGGTGAAGAAACAGGTATGGCAGCGTGCTGTGGTACCCCAGTGTGTTCTCTTCGGGGTGACTGCACCAGACCAAGGCCCTTTATTCCCCCGAGATGCTCAGGATGGGAGGGAGTGCTATCTTTCCAGCCCCATGTTGAATTTCAGAGTCTTCCTCCAGCCTCACAAGAACATGAGAAGGAGTTTGCTTTCCTGCTGCTGTGTCCGTCTGTTACTGGAGAAGCAGAGGTGGAAACGCAGCAGTGTGGCCTTGTCCCCTTCCTCTGGTCTCATGAGGAGTCTGTGCTGCACGTAGTGCTGACTGCCCAACTGCTGCACGTGTTGGTGAACCTGTCTGTGCTGTTCCCAGTTCAAGCTTCATCACCCTGAAAGTGAAGACCTGGCTTTCCTCTACGGCACCATACTGACAGACGGGAAAGATGCCTTTAGTGAGGAGCCCACCACCAACATCTGTGTGTTTGCAGATGAACAGGTACAGAAACGGGCTCTTCTCAGACACACAAGGCACCACCTTTTTCCCTTCTTACAGCCTCTGCAGAGACAAGGGACGGTTCTGCTTCTTCTTTTTTTGGGCAGTGATCATTGCTTCTGCTACAGTGATGTCTCTGAAGAGCTGAGTGTCACTTAACACATGCAGTTTTAGCTCCTAATGACAGAAATACTTCTGCACATCTTAGATGGTGGCATTTTAAAAAGGTTCATACCCATGCCCCATAGCTAGGAATTTCCCAGGAGTTCAGGGGCTGAGGTGGGATCCCAACAAACATAGTGCATGTTCTTAAAATCCTAATCTAGGGAACAGCTGCTGGGGATCAACAGAGCAGGAGAGGAAAGAGGGGGTGTAGACTTTTATCCTTGTCTGCTGTGGATAAGGTGTCACATAACTAGAAGGGGAAGTTTTGGTTGGACTTCCCAGCAGTGAGGAGTGTGGAGCATTGGAACAGATCGCCTTGGAAGCTGGCCAGCACTGTATTTTTGAAGGTTTTAAAAACCAGGCTGGCCAGCACATCTCTCAGCGTAAGGAGAACTGATCCTACCTTGACACATGAGAATGTGGAAGGTGGCCTCTGCCCCTCTCAGTCCTTTTGCTATGATGCTGGGAAGCTTTCAAGCACTCCCTAAATAGCCTCAATATTTATCAGATCCCCCATCCCTACTAGTTTGCCAAAGCTGATCACAATCCAGAAGTACCCCAAACCTGCTTATTTTGTCTTCTCATTTGTGATGTATCCAGATTCTGTACAAACCCCTGGGCTAGGCGGATTTCCCCCAAGCACGATATAAAGGTGGCAAAGAGAACTGTGGGAGCAATATTGTTTTCTATTAAACCCCAAAATATTAGAGCGGGTTCATCTTCTCTTCTGAATGTAGGTTGACCGAAGTCCAACAGGTTCGGGTGTGACAGCTCGCATCGCCTTGCAGTACCATAAGGGACTCATCCAGCTGAATCAGACCAGAACCTTTCGGAGCAGTACCACGGGGTCCTTGTTCACCGGGAAGGCAGTGCAGGCAAGTGGCTTGTGCTGGACTTTCCCTCTGTCTTGAGGACTGCTGGAGAAGTGCTGTTGCCTTGACTCGGTGGAGAAGCAGAAAAGCCTTTCTGTGCCTGGGGAAGGGCATGTGGAAGGAGGGAAGTGCCTGGGGGTCTTGCCTTCCCACAAGCCTCACGCTTCAAGATTTTTTATTAGGGAAGCAAGTAACAGTAAGACCTTGTTCTGCTGCGTGGCTTCCCTTCAAATCCTCCCTCAGCCGTCAGGAAAGGACTGGGCACCTCGGCAGCTTGTTGGCCTCCTTAGAGGCAAACCCAGGCTGTGGTAGTGCGGGGGCTCGCGAGCTCAGAGCGGGGGCAGCAGCAGTCGTGCAGGTGTGGAGCTCATGCAGGCAAGGTGAGGCGATGAAAGGGCTGCTGCACACTTTGGGGTGTACCTGGGCAGGGCAGAGTGCTCGGTGAGGGGTGTCTCTGCCTAAGTGCCAGGTAGCGCTGGCATTTGGTGGGGTTGGGAGAGCGGAGAACCTCCTGTCACCTCTGTCCTGATCCTAATCCCTCTGCAGGAAGCCAAGTTTGGGGATTACGACGCTGTCGTTGTGGAAGTCTCGGGAGAAGCCTTTTACACCGGTACAGCCATCTTCACTGTCGAAGAGGAGGATCCGCTGAAATACGGCTTCTTCTTCAAGTGACCTGAGCCACTAGGCAGTGGCAAAGTCTCACTGATAGTGCTGCGCTTCCTCTGCCCACGCATTCCCGTTCTGCTTCTCCACATGGCTCGTTGCAATATGCCAGAGCAACAGGAACAGCCTTTGGTGGTGTGACAGCATCTGCCATGTTTCAAGATAACAGGCCGTGTTCCCTTGTTGTGATTAGCATATTGGGTGCAATGTGATTAGCATATATGGGCTGCTCTCAGAAGCCATAATCTTTTTCTTCTTTTTTTTCCAATAATTGTTCACAGAAAATGGAGCTGATCTTGGAGAGCTGTCTTCAAATGTATGTGCCTTCTCTACGTCTGCAAATTACTAATTTCAAAGCCAGCTTCCTATTAAATGCCAGCTGAAGACACTGCCTTTCTCATTTTCACTCCCAGAGCTCATTTCCAGGACTCTGCTGAGTGTACCATGGTTGTTGGTTTGGATTGCCTGCTCTTCCTCGATGCCTCCCGCTCAGCCGGCCCTGCTGCTCTGTCTCAGGCCCCAGCTTCCCCGGCCTGCCCTGCTCAGGGCTGGCCAGACGCCCCTTTCCTCACTGCACTCCCTTCACCCCTGCCAGAGCCGTCCTGCATCCTGGGGCTGGATGCAGAACTCCCTGCTGTCCCTGCTGCATGTCCAGGTTATGCTGCTTTCCTAAACCTTCTCTTGCTTATCTTGGTTAACTTTCAACAGGAGTAGCTATATTCAAAGGTCTAAGCCACTGTGACCTTTGATGGCAAAATTATTTACTGATGATTTTATCCCAGCCGAGGGGCAGCTTGTGCAGCAGAGTGCAGTCAATGTGTGCTTTGCCAGAGTCCATTGAGGGGGAGTTGCCGGTGGAAAAAACAAACCAAGCCCTGGGCTGTAGGCAGGCCTTTGCAGTGGCAGAAGCAGAGCTTCAGACCGCTTGGGGCCTGTAATTTTCACTGTGTCTCTGGACAAAATGGTGTTTGTTTATTGAAGACACTCGTAGGAGTGTGCCTTGTTAAAATGAGACATGAAAATGAGAATGATCATCTCCCAGTAGCTCATGCAGCAGAAGGGAGCAAGTCACACTGGAGAGCTTGGAAATGGTTGGCATGGAAGAGCCCGAGAGGAATTTCTTCTGTCAAATTGAAAATTGTAACTTTGTAACAGGAAGAAACAAAAATCCCCACGTTCGGAGAGTGGCTGTGCTGCCAACGGAGGTTTTCTAGGCTGGTGTCTGGGGCTCTTGCTCCCACCTTTCCTGTAACCCCCGGATAAATCCTGTACAGCCTCTGGTCTGGGGGAGCAAGAAGTGACACACACATCCTCCGCGCTTGCAGGAGCAAACTCATCTGCGTGTTTCTAGCTTCTGGGCATTTCCCTTGCGATCAGCCCCCCAGCCTGGCTCCCGGGGAAGAGCTGGGGCAGCAAGTCATGAAGCCCAGCACAGAAAGGTCGGAAGTTCTTCAGCTATTAATGGGGTTGCAGCCTTCATTATCTATTCACTGTCCCCATCCCTAAGGAATTTTTCACGTTGGGGCAAGCAGCTCCAGCATGGCTGAGAGTTGGGGGACGGGGTCCTGCTGCCCATGTGGGGGTCCCGGGCCGTGAGGGGAGAGGGCTGTGAGGGGAGAAGGGCCCTGTGGGGAGAGGGGGTGTGAGGGGAGAGGGCAGTAAGGGGAGAGTGGTGAGGTGGGGAGAGGGCTGTGAGGGGAGGGGGCTGTGTGGGGAGAGGAGCTGTGAAGGAATAGGGAGGGGCCCTGTGGGGAGAGGGGCTGTGGGG